TCGCAGATTCTGAAGCGCTTGGCCGAGCACTTCAGAAAGGTCCTCAACTGGCCCTCCACAATCTGCGACGCCCCATCGACCGGCTGCCCGAACTGGAAATCAACGTCGACCTGGACCCCCCGCCCTGTCTTACAGAGACCATTCGCGCCGTGCAACAACTCTCCAACGGGAATGCACGAGGCTCCAACGCACTAGCAACCGAAATCTACAAGCACGGCGATTACCCTCTGATGGAGTGAATCGGAGTGCTATTTCAAGAGATGCGGCACTGTGGACAACTTCCTCAGGACTTCAAGGATGCAACCATTGTTCATCTTTACAAGCGCAAACACAACCGGCAAGTCCACAACAATCACAGGGACATCTTACTACTCAACATCGCCAGGAAGATCTTCTCCCGCATTCTCCTCTATCGTCTCACTGAACACCTCGAGCAAGGACTCCTGCCGGAAAGCTAATGTGATTTCCGACGACACCGATGCGCCATCGATGTGATCTTTGCCGCCCGTCAGTTATGTGAGAAATGTCAGGAGATGCGAACTCACCTCTACACAACCTTTGCGGATCTGATGAATTCCTTCAACAAGGTTAATCGTCAGAGACGGTGGAGAATCATAGAGAAGTTTGGCTGTCCCGAACGATTAACACACCTGGTAAGTCAACTCCACGACGGGATGATGGAGCGCGTCACGGACAACTACGCAATCTCTACGGAACGGAAACTTGCACTATCTACTCCAACCAGGCCAAGAAAGTCAACTACTTCCATCTCAGCTGCCTTCGCATAATACTAAAGTTGAGAAGGCAAGACAGGATTCCCAACACGGAGTCCTAGAACGGACCGGCATCTGTAGCATTCATGTCGTGAGGATGGAAGATACACGTCTGCCAAAACAACTTTTCTATGATGATGTCGCCACCGGTGATCGTCGAATGAGAGGACGAAGACGACACTACAAGGACACTTTGAAGGATTCTCTTAAGCGATTGCATGTCAATCCGGTGATCTGGGAGGACCTCGCCCAGGATAGACTGACCGGAGAAAAGAAGTGAAGACTGGCGCGGCCATCTACAAAGCGAACCGGATTGCCGTGACCAAAACCAAAAGGGCTGCTCGCAAGTCTCAGGCGCCTCTGATACGCAACGTACCCGCCCAACCCTACCGAAAATGCCCGCGGTGTCAACGAAAATTTTGCGCGCGGATCGTCCTCGTCGGTCATCTTTTGACTCAACGTGACATCAACCTAACATACGAAGAAAATAATAAGTAATTCTCCACCATCTAGTACTGGCAGGATACATTTCTATTGGCGTCATTACTGGTTGTGTGTAAATCGTCTGAAATACTCAAATGGGAAGTTTCCTTTTCATCAGAATATTTCGTTTTCTTTTTATATTTTGGTGCGAAATTATGAAGCGTACTTTCACGCTGTGTCCAGCAAGTAACCTCCTAGAAGCTTTGTGCCAAACGAAGCGTTTCCTCCAACCCAAGGTCATTTTGTAAATAAATATTTACATAGCTTTAGCTGTCCAGAATTTAGTTACTCGCGTATGCAGGCGTCGGATGCTCCCAAACCACGCTCCTCTCCTCATCCTTTGCTTCCTTCATTTATACAGTAACTCCTGTTTATGTAGTTGTCTCTAAAAATTAGCTAATCTCTATACTCAGTAGTCACCTTTTTGTTAAAAGTTGTTGTCTGGAAATTACACATCAAATGAGTAGTTTTGAAGTCAACGCTTACCGGCTAGTTTTCGTGACTTACCGTGCAGGATCTAGACCTGCCTCCGTCCATCAATTTCTTATTATCCTAGAGAAGAAAACATAAACATAAAAGAAGTAAATTTGTTTCTCCAAGCTAACCCATTAAGTTGAAATTGAGAGGTCTGACGTTTAGTCAAATTTTGCGAACGAAGAACATAAGAGCAATTAATCCTTCCACTCTCACTTTAAATGCATTGTTGATATGTTCTGGGGACGTGAACTCGGTTGGATTATTGTCCCATTTGCGGGATTCAACTCGGCCACTGAGACTAAAACCGTGATGGAATTTAAAACGATCCCGACACGGACCTAGTGAAGAAGGATTTGTGGTTTTCTTATCCTAAATGTCATTCCAAGGGTGTCAGTTCATCTACATTCGACTTACAGTTCAAAAGTTGTGAAAAGGTTTCTCCTAAGTTTATGCTTGCTCCCCTATAGACAAATAGATAGCTAGTGCTCAGTGATGGGCAGCTTGAAATTATCCGGGAATTGTTTTGAACAGGCTTGAGAGAGCGCGCTCTTTTATTGTCTTGCTAAAATGAATTTAAGCTTGATCTAATCAGAAGATATAAAGGACAGGCCGCAACCATCTCAGAGAGTATCTCTTAGCTTAAAGAAAGGTCATAGAACAGTAGTCATTGCTGTCAGTTATTTTGTAGACACTGCCTAGCTGTGAACAGTAAGGTATAAAGTGACCCGCACTTTCAAGCATTCCTGTAGCAGCATACGAAATTCATTTCCTAGAGCCAATTACCGTGAGTTTCTAAAATCAGCGCTGCAGAAAATACCGCGGAGGTCGTATACAAACACCTCGATGCAGAAGTGTGCCTGCTCTTTTGAGCACTACTTCACTACAGGTTTTAACGTAAGGAATTCCAGTGCCAGGCAAATGTTTACTATTCTGTTTTCCAGCAAATGTGTCAGATGGCAACGATTCAGAGATTTGCATTTACTTACCATTTGTCACCCAAAAGCCCACACCAGGTGCGACAGGAGAGCCATTTGAAATATCTACAGCAACAGCAGTTTGACAATAGCTTTTGCATTGTACTTATATTTCCGTGATATACAGACTGAAAGACTTGATGAAAAGTCCGGTAGATACACCTCGTGGGTTTTGTTGTGGAATTTCTGTGTATTTCAGACATTTCCAGCCAACATTTGTTGGAATTTCAGTTGGCACCTCTACTGGAAAGATGAAGTCTAAATATCACTGGGTATTCATATATTACTGACTTTCTGTTGACAGGCTATGCATATGACGAGGTTGTTCCGCAAAATTTGCAGAACGCACCTGAAACATCAGTATTATATTCGAGATCGGGCCAAAAGCGGCACATGCAGAAGGGTTCAGTTGTAGTTCCTTGATTATTTTCTAGCAGAATTATAGGTTCAACAGTTCAGATTTAGAGCATGCCAGAAGCAACATGGGGAATGATGTGAGGGCTAATCCTAAGTTGGATCACCAATAACTGTGCCATGTAACAAAACATAATTGCCAAAATCATGTTTGACTTTATAACTAGCACCTTTATTGTGAGTATAGTAATCTAAAAACTGTATTTACATAGCGAATCGCACATCTAGATTTACCGATAAAGCATACAAAATGCATTTCTGTATGGCAAACTGGGCAGCATATGTCCAGCAGTGAAGGACTCCTTTTCGACATCGACGAGGACGCCCATTTGTGCATTTCAGCCCACCCTGAGGGAGTCTCCTGTTCCACTGATCTCCCCACATCCACCATGCTTAATTAGAGAGCTAAGTTCAAAATATTTAGAGCTACATTGAGAGCAGGAATTTTAGTAACCTAAGGCTTTCGTCCAAAGGTGTCAAGTAAGTACTGAACCCAAACAAACCACATTTTCTAAATATAAGAATATCACATTAATGAGAGTGACAATAAAGCCACGTTAAAAAGCATGTGTACATTTGGCCTGCCTGTACAGAGTGCCCAGTTAGCTCACTCCCAGTCTACAACGTTTTGGACGATGACCATTCAGACACCCTGAGAGGACAAAGGTACAAAGAGATTAAAGTTCGCCAGGTTCGTTGAAGTGAAGAAAGGTTGCCCGAAATGGACCCAAATGTCCTCCCCCTCCACTCACGGCAATCCTGTGGGTGAATGGCAGGACCTTTCGTCTAATCGCGCCTCACGTGTTTGGCCTACTGATTGGGTGTGAAGGTACGGCGCCGCAAGTATCGGGACATAGGCTAATTAATTAATGAAATTTATCCATTAATAAATCGGACCTCGTAGTCATCTGGTGGATTTTAGATGAATCGTTTAGGAAGTCCAGCCTGGGTATTCAGCTTGTCGTATCAGATTTGGTGGGCTCCATACGTTGCAGTAAGCTTGGCGTGGGTAACTTGACCCAAACTCGCGGCTATACTCACAGCTCACAGTTGGGACCTCCTAACTCAGGTGGTTGAAGCATTGGCCACATACAAGCCTTGCACTTGCTATCTTGAGTTAGAACCAACCGAAACCACCGACTTTTTCATAATTAGGCCGGAGAAAGCTTTGCTTTACACTAAAAATATATCGAGAGTCCGTCATTTAAAGACCGGAGCATAAATGACATTTGAATACGGAGC